TGTCGGACGGCGGCGATCTTGGCAGCGATGGAAAGCTCTCGTCGAGACGGTCGTCTGGGTATGCTGTGCGTCTCAATCAGACCTCAGGTTAGTTCTGTAGGATAAAATATATTTCGTCTCGGTTTACCTACAGATCTTCTACTGTATTACTCAATACACCCTTCTTCAACTTGTACCAGTGGAGCAACAAGAAGAAGATAAAGCTCGAATGAGATCTAGGGAGAGAGAGAGGCATGGGGCGTGTCTCATGTTAGAATATGAATTCTGTTCTCTTCTCGTGGGCTGAATGATGTATATATATAGAGCTACAGTAAGGACCCTTAGGAGATTACGAAAATGGCTCCTTAATTAATTAGACTAACTGTGGGCCAAACTCACTCCCCTAATTAATTAAATAATATTAATGGGCCACCAACATTATATTATTGCACTCTCTTTTCCTAGCCCAAATTACATTTGAGACTCCAATAATAATTACTCGATTTACCTCCTCACGTTTAAGATATAATGTCCATTAATTAATTCGATTATTGACAATCAAGAATTAATTAATTTATTATTATTTCACCGAAGCTAGCGCTCGTTCATCACATTCTTATTATGCCGGAACTTAATCCACCTGCAGGGTTTAGTATAACAATCCTTCATGAACTCACTCCGGGGACATCATCAAACTAACGCACATGGTGACCGTAAATATCCTAACAACACATCCTATAGATAATAATATTATCCAAAACAGTAGGAATATTAATCCAACGAACTGAACCTCACCCATGTGAATCAAAGTAATATATATTATATATATCTGCCTGTTTAATATCTTACGGGTTAAGAGAGAGCAGTAATTAACCGAGGCCTAGTTCATTTACGACGATCAGTATAAAATGAACTTCTCCTCTCTGGGATTCTGTTCAATACATAAATGTACTAGTGCAACTAATCAGTCAAGACAAACTGTACAGTTGACACTACAACTGTTCGGATGGGGTGTTCATGTCCATCTAGGTTGTGAACAACTATTCTTCTTCGCAAGTGACTGATAGAGTGATCTTCGATTCGCCCGATGACGACCCACCCTATCTAAGTGCAGAACAACAGAACGTAGAACTTGTTTAATCTAACACGATTCTCATTCATAAAGGGCAAATGTGTAATAACATGCAAAGTCAAGCTTTCAGTATATAACACTAACACTCGGGTCCTTCATCAAACATAGGTGGATCATCGTACAATGGCCCGTCAACTTGCTCTCCATCGAATTTGGAGATGTCAACGCGAAATGGGCCCTCCCATCGACCATATTTGTGATTGAGCCCACCAGAAAACTCGGGGATGTCGAACCCCGCGAAGCCGGCGCCATCATGTTCAACCACGGCCTCCACTTCCTCCGTGAATTCCACCGCACACGCCCCAACTGCCGGCTGCACGGTTCATTTGCAAATCTCAGACCACGTTGTTAAGCGTCAAATACAAATTCTTGATCCCCGTTGAAAGATCGGCAAACCAATCCGTGAAACGCACGTCTAATTGTTGAAATCGGTAGTCGATCTGTTGAAACTGATCGTTGAAGGTTGCGTCACGTCGTTCGTTTGCGGCATCTTGTCATCCCGGCGGCATCGCGTATCGTGCTGACTGCTGATACCAACTGATGTAGGGGAGCGTACGAATGGGAAAGATAAACGAGATACTTTCTCGATAAAACTCACAATCAATTCATATTTCATTCATAATCAACCAAGGAAATTAAACTAGAGGGAGTCCTTTATATAAGACCCCTAATCCTAAACCTAACTTGTCCAACAAGATAAGATCTCTTATAATAATATTTAATTCATAACTTATTCTCCAAGATACCTATGCTAATAATACTAATAATAATAGATACTAATCTACACCATTATGTTTATCAACAAAATTCCAAGGCAATTGCCTGAGTTATATGTCAATCCGCCCCTGCTTTTGAGTTGGTTTACCTACATACTGACACTATAGGTTAGTTCGGATGATTATTATTGTCAATCGTACATGAACAATTTGTCATTTTTTTTTTCATTCTTGGACATAAAAAAATAATAATGAAAAGTTACAAAAAAAGGAATCAATAAAATAAATTATTAAAATATTTGGACATTTCATCACAAGATGGCTCGTAAATGGATTCGTACAAAGCATGTGCATATCTGCAAATTAAAATAAAATATTATAAATGATATGTATAATAATTACTAGTAAAGTGCACGTGCGATGCACATGATGGTGAATGTTTTTGTAGATTAAATAGTAAAATGAACTAATTAATTTATTTAGAACAAATGAACTCTTAATGCATTTTTTTTAAAACAATATAATGATGTCATAATATAAAAAAATAAAATATCATATTACAACCCTAAAAAAAATGTATGATCAATGAGTCCCTAGTGTAAAAAACACTAAAGAAAAAAATAAGGACCTAATGTGTATTATAGATGAATTAGTTTTATTTATTTATTCATGTAAGATGATTCAAGAGTGATTTCCGTTATTTTGGTTTTGACGTTCTTATAAAAAACATTCATACTCATTGGAGCCCAATACATTAATAGTATTGCAAAATCCTTCTTAATTCATTTGGCAAAGCGTCTATTGTACTCAAACGCTTAGATATATTTTAACCAAACATATAGTCAAGTTTCATGATTGTATAATCTTTATAAAGTAATTAAACTAATAGTTCATGTATATCTTTGTGAAATAACCAACAATGTCATTAAAATTGGTCGTATATTTTTTTAGCATTGTATAAACCATTAGATTATTCTTTCTCCATATAGACAAATTTGTACATACCCCATGGAGGCATCGCCCCATGGGTGGGAACGAATTTCATCTCCAAGTAAAAGTTGACTTTTCAAAATCTAGGTTACATGTACTTCTTCCGAGACGCTGAATTATATTTTGAAATCATTACACATTACATAAAAATACGTACTCTATAGTAATTGCACATATGTTTGAGCACAATACATTAATGAGATTGTAAGTATTCTTGTGACAAATTCATTTGAACATTCAAAAATGTTTTGATCATCCTCCGATATTCCTTTTCCAATGTTATTTATTTGGGAGATAGATGGACAACATAATCTATTGTTAGCAAAACTGTATATCTTTGTAAAATAACCAAGAATGTCGTTAAATTTGCTGGTATATTTTTTTATCATTGTATAAACTATTACATTACTCTTTCTCTATATAGACAAATTTGTACATACCTCATGGAGGCATCGCCCCATGGGTGGGACCTAATTTCATCTCCAAATAAAAGTTGACTTTTCATAATCTAGGTTACATGTACTTCTCCCGAAGCGTTAATTTTTTTTAAAATCATTACATTACATGAAAATACGTACTCTATAGTAATTGCACACATGTTTGAGCACAATACACTAATGAGATTGTAAATTTTCTTGTGACAAATTCATTCAGACATTCAAAAATATTTTGATTATCCTCCGATATTCCTTTTTCGATGTTATTTATTCGGGAGATAGACGAACTATATAATTTGTTGTTTGCAAAACATTGACTATCTCTTCTGTTACAATCATTGTAGAGTTGTTTATCATAATATCATTTACATTCCTCCGGATTTGTAATATTTATGTGTCTAATAACTTCTTTATTGTTTTTATTATTCAACTTTTTGCTTCATACATAATGTTTCGACTCAAGATAAAGATTTTTCTTCCAACAATTAGAAGACAGAAGCAAAATAAAACAAGATAATGAGACAATATTGAGGTGCATATAAGTTGTCAACATATTTGGGAAGAGAAGAACTAGAATTCTATTATATTATAATACTCTTATTCATTTGTGAACTTTATTATTATGAAGTCCTTATTGAAATCTACATTATATATTAAAAAGTTTATAATTTTTCTAATTATTTAAAATTCAAATTGATAATATAGGATCATTATTTATGAGAACCAATTTCTTATATTTAAACGGTTGCAACAAAAAAATAGTAACTTCAAGAGACTTTTGTTTTTAGATATTGGTATTCATAATTCTCTGATAAAATTCGGACTTTTTTGTCACCATTGTATTACTATTGTTATAATTGTTTCTTATTTTATTCATAAATAATATTTTATTGATTGAAAGAATTAGATCCCATTTATATGTATTGCGTCATTTTCTTGTATGTGTTTTATATAATGAAGTTGTTAGCAAAAAAACTTAATTATTAGGTTACAACTAATATAATTACATAAGATAAAATACTATTTAATATTACTAATATTTTATTTATAATAATAATATATTTCATAAAAATATACTTTTATATTGTTTATAAGATTAAAAAATTTAGGATTTATTTTCCATTGTTGGATAAAATATTAACTAACTCATTTTCATATAATATATTAAGTATCTAACTCATTTTCATATTCACTAAAAATATGTTTTACAACCATTATGGTGTTTTATTTCAGACAGTAATTCAAGAATAATTGACATACAACTCATTTATTTTTCCTTTTAATTTACACAATTAATGTTTATAACAGTTGTACATTTACATCCATTTGTACTTTTTCCTTAGTATATATATTTTAAATTTATCTAAGAAAAATATTTCACAAGTTTATCCTATATTATTTTGTGATTATTTTTGTCCGATGTCCTTGTGTAACCCAATTTGAGTCACTAGTAGGAGGTTTGGGTTTTGATTACGTGTGACATTTTGAAATTGATTGAAAAGGGATTTTGAGGAGCGAGGTCAAATAAAGATGTCCCTCGCACCAAGATGCAACTAATTTTTCCTTCCACTGAGATTAAGTACAGCTAATTTTCCGAAGATGTTTTCTCCTTTCTTCTTTGATTTTGTTCACTCACCCTCTCCTAGAATTAATTTCTTAATGATGTTTTCTCTTTTATGGGTCAAATTAATGAAGGCTCATATCAGATAAGCAGACAACAAGAGTTCTATGTGAAGCTAACGATTCCTTCAACTTTTTAATTATGAACTTCAATAGAAATATCATGATTTCCATGCTAAAATGCATACATGAAAACATTGGTCACCCAGCCAAATGGCTTTTCTAAAATCTTCATACATTCATATCCCACTGAAAATCATTTGTATCAACCATACAAGAGAAGCACAAGCTACAGAGTACTACGCATTCCAGAACATTGCCTTCACATTTCAAAATATATCACAAGAGAATCATACAAACACACAAGAACTTAACCCCCACATAATAAAAAAAAATAAAAAAATCCAAAAGAACATCAAAGCCTAATCTCCATCATTAACAATACTCTCACTATACACCCACTAATCATCCAATTCCTACTTATCTCTATACATTACCACTCTTCCTCAACAAGAAATCACAGCCAACAGAGAATACTTAACGCGAAGAGATATTTTCCCACCGTCAACCACGAGCCTAGCCCCCGACACTACCCAGTAACCCGGCAAGTCTTGTGCCCCTCTCGTCATCTCTTTCGTGTCCACAAACCTCAAGAGCTTAAGCGTCTGGGCAGGCATTGGGGGACCTTCCTGATACAAAGCCGAGTTCACGTTCACATCCGATGGGTTCGGACCAAGCTTCTGCCCTGTCGAGAAATTTCCGCTGAACAAAGACGAAATGAGGCCCGATTTTTGAGTCAGGGCGTGGGACCCATCCCACTCGGGCTTCTTCACAGCTGTGGCGCCCTCGACTCGAGAGAAGTGGAGGCGCAGAAAGAGGACATTCTTTGCGCCCGAGTCCTTCACTTCGAAGTGGGCCCCAGTGACTATGGAGAGTTCGTCGTCTGACTCGACTGGGGCAGTGCATACGTGCGAGAAGCTCCTCCAGTGGACCTTCTCGAAGTATTTGCGTTCGGAGGAGTGGTTTTCTTCGCCACGTGGCGCGTTTTGGAGGCGGAAGCTTTGAGGGGAGGAGGAGAGGTGCTGCAAGTGGATTGCCAGGCAGTTGCTTCGTTTTCCTTCCAGGTAGAGGCGCAAGCCGGTCACGGGTTTATTTCCGGCGTCGACCTGTGACAGGAAAAAGTTTTTAGCAAAGGGATTTATTGGGTGATGAAAAAAAAATAGAACTTACTCACAAATATATCACATCTATAGGAGAGTTTAAATCTCAGCATATGTCTGGTCACTAAATGAACCTTATGCAGAAGGGTAAAGGGATTCCTCAAATATCATGTAAAGTCTGACTACTGAATCGTGGGAAAGGTTTGTGAATGTCCATCTCTTGGCGATGTCAGATAATGTTCAGAGAACATAGTCCCAGTGGAGTTGTAATAAAGAAACCATGTATCTTAAGCTATTCTGTGTGATTCAAGCATCAAACAAGTCTCGTATCTTATGGAAACCAACATCAATGTATAATTTTTTCACACCATTACCAGGTCTGAATAAATATGTTTGTCGTGTTAAGAAAATGTAATCTCATTTATCTGCTATAATTTGTCCTCTGATGAAATAAAAACAAAATCGTCCTCGTACGAAATAAAAACAAAATCTTTTACCCAGCAACTTTTCAGGTTTGTTCAATCCTTCAAACGGACAAAAAACAAAGGTTATGGACCAGCAATCTATGGTTTATGGCAGCATCTTATACTTTGATTTCTTAGTTCCAGCACCATCAACCTTAATTTTTTCATCACTAAATGCCCAAGGAGTTGGAAGAAGCTGATTCCTTACAACCTTTGAGAGTAAACGTACTTAAAACTGGAATTGGTTGTGTAGATTAGCACAAGAAACAAAAAGATTTTTTTTTTCCCAATATAGTTGAACACTTCCAGATTCATAGTTGCATTCGCTCTCTCAACATTGAACAAAAATAGCCAAATAGGAGTTTTGCATAACTTTACCTCATCAGTATTTACGTAAAGCTTTGGACCCATTAAACTGAACTTCAAAGATGCAGTGCCTTGCTGCTTTCTGTCAGGGCCAATAGGGACGTCACCGAATACTGGTGCCCATTGCCTTGGAAGTTGAAATTCCAAAAACTGATGAAGTTCTTCTATAGGTGGCTTATCTGCAGGTGGCAGAGAACATTTCGCATTCAATAAGAACTCTATTCAGCTTTCAGATACATTCCAGATTGATTTCGGGAAACAACAATATTCTTAACATATTCTTATGCATGAAACAGGACAGCAGGACAAGCGAATCAAGACTTCAATATTTACTCAATATTTCATAGAAATTAGTTGTAATGAAACTGTCATGAAGCACTATATATATATATATATACATATATATTAATCATATACAAGCATGCTCAGGACACCAAATCAAACAACTCGTCCCTAATTTTCCTCAATCACTAAACATATCCTAAGAAAAAAATTATTACTTACAGCGCAAATATAGATTGATGGCATGACCCAAGAAACCACTCCCATCTATTCCGCTCAAGAGTGATGAAATTGGAACCAAAGTCATTGAGATGACTTCGGGCTCGGTCTGAACAGTTTGACACCACTTACTATGAGGCATATCCCTACTGTTGCTTCCACCTCTCCTCTTCCAGAAGAAAGTAATTTCCTGAGATTTACATTATTAAAATATGCATAATATCTAAGGTAATGTGTCTCAAACAGAACAATCGAATTCAAAGAGTTATGGAATCAAATTCAATGCAGTTATACTCGTAATTCACAACGTTGAATATTTCTTCACACTCAAACTGATTTGCAAAATTGTTACCTCTTGGCTAGAGTGGAAACTTGACCCGCTAGGATCCAATAGTCCAAGTCCTTTCTCATTAGTTGCATCCTTAAAGAAGAAGAAGAAGAAAGATGCTCCTTTTATTAATTTACTGTGATCAGAAATGAAAAGTGGGAAAAACAGGATACGGAGTGCCAAATTAATATGGATCATCTGTATCCTTCCTTAAGATGGCTAACAATCAGCACGTTAATGGATTCATAAATTCATTTACACTGACAAGCAAATAGAAAACACTATAGCTTGAAGGCCATAAGGACACTTGCATTCTTGTGGCCGCTTCACCATCAAATTTAAATAAACCAACTTATTAAAATTATCACAATTTATGTTTCATGGATGAAGTGGCAGAAAACCAAGGTGGCTGAATCGCAAGTTTAATTCCAGTGTATTATACTCCCATGTTCTGCTGTCTCCAGCATGTTCAACCATGACAATTGATTTCAGCAATTGCACTTGAAATCTTGTCGTTAAGGGGAAGTAGACAATTATGCTGCTATGATGATAGATTATTATGTCTTTCACAGTTGATGCACATTACACTGCTGCTGCGGGAACTTGACATGCTGAATAAATAAATTTCCTCATTACTTTCAAAGGTTGAGGTGTAACAATTACTCTGTTATGATGATTATTGTCTTTCACAGTTGATGCATATTACACTACTGCTGAACATTCCAGGACACTGAGAACCATTTTATTGAGCTTGGCACCAACATGCACACATGGTACATGTGCTGCTCACACATTCATGACAGAAAATTGAAGACCTTGAATATGCTAATTCCACAAATTAGCCACTCATGGATTGCCTAGATATTATTTTACCTCTCACTGTCATCCACATAATAATCCTTTCGAAATTTACACTTCATTCATTCAATGCGTATGGGTTTGATTCCTAGCATACAAGCAATGTCGGGACCATGGATTAACTGAAAAAACAAAAAAAAATAATAAAAAAAAAAGATACAAATTAGCGGAAACGTAACCAGCGAAACAAACCTTTTCTTTGCCATAAGCTTTCTCATTGTTTTGGTTGGATTGTCCACATGCATCAGTAAACCTCCTGTTGGCCATATCTTTCAACTTCTTTTGTACCTCAATGGGTTGGAGAAATGACGAATAATGCTGCTTTACATATATAACATCCTTTCCCCCCATCTTTACTCCAACAACTATATGGGTACCGTATTTCTCGATAAATCTGCATATGCATTTGATCTTTGAATTAATAGTCCATTCATTCTACACATGAAATCATTAAAAGTTAGGATATACTCTGAAATACAAGCTTATTGCAGTGATATAATTAAGAACCTTTAAAGAACAGACTCGCACCCACCTCTGTTTTTGGGTGATCTACGGAAGAACACAACTTAACAATCATCATCAACAACAACAACAACATACCCAGTATATTCCCAACAGGTTGGGGTCTGGGGGGTCAGTTGTACGCAGACCTTACCCTTGTAATTATACAAGGAGGTTGTTTCCGTAGCGACCCAAGGTGCATTGCGCCATTTGATATATTTTTTTTTTCTAGAAACTTCACTAACATGTTGTACAATCATCAAAACATAATCAAATCATGGAAACAAAAGAAATTAACATGTTGTACAATCTCATTATACATAATTAATTCCTGCAATTTTGCGAACACAATAAGAACTGACTCCCCATACCACTCTGTTTATGCCCTTATAAACATACTTGACTAAAAAAGAAACCAAATAGAATCTTAACCAGTGTTAACATATCACTCGTGGAGGCCATAGTTATTACAGTCAGTCGTCACCTACCAAATTATCGAGAAAAGTGCAGCATACTTTCTCAGAACGCCAAAAGAAAATGAAAACAGGTTTTAGTTAAGATATCAATCTGAAAACCAACTGAATAACTACAAACAAGGAAATATCATGGAGTAAAAGACTTACACAATTAAAAGCTCAATTATATAAACATAGAAGAAGATGCATCAGATATACTTTATGTATCACCTTGCCAGTGCAGCTGGGTCCCACATCGATGGCACAGCTTGTTTGACATGATCTCGAAGCATTAATTGGGACTTTTCTAATGCAATGCTATAGAGGGTGATGAAAACCCCATCAAAAGCAAGGGATTTCGTGAAGGCGGCATCTTTCTGCCAACAACCCGTGAGTTCAAATGCTGCATTCAGATGGCCTGTTGGAATTTTACTTGAAAGTGATAATTCCTGGTTGAACTGTTCTGACATCTAGAAAATGAAATTAAGAAACACAAGTTCAGAAATTACAACCATTTCAATCACAAGAAGCCTATAAATCAGCATATATCTACTACTCACAAGTCATTCTACAGTTTTATCGTGTTTTACAACACTATAGCATAAAACGTAACACGAATTTCAGTACCAGCTAACTGAAAGACTGAAACTGAATCGTCAGCTCTCACTAAACAAAAAGCGCATCACATCACATAAATTATACCTCCCTCCAAATACAATTCAGACAACTAATCACATTCCATCCAGATACCAATTCATTTTTAGACAGAATTTTCAAACACAAGTACCTGCTGAAAGGGTATAACATCAGAGCTGAAGCGCATGCGCTCGCCTTTATCACAATTGATAGGCTTGGGTACATTTTGGACCAAAATACCCCCGGGAACAGCGATATCCCTGACCAGGTCGTCGTCCATGGCGATCAGCCTACTCTGCTCCCTTTTGCAGTACTTCAAACGGAGGTCCAGCGTCAAATCGTAACCCAGTCCGATGCTCTTCACCGCCTCCTCCGCCGCCGCCCTCAGCCTCATCAATATCTCTTTCTTACTACAACTACCACCTCCATTATTCGCCATATGAAAAGGAAACCGAAAAAAAAAAAATTAAAGCGACGAAGTTTTCTTCGACGAATGGATCCTGGGACAGAAATAAGAATAAGAAGAAATAAAAGGAGGTCAGCCCCTTTACCGAATGGATATAGCAGGTGGTTTTGAGGTTGAAAAGAGAAGACTGAGTCGGGAAATTGGATCGTGAAAATGGTTTTATATTAGATTTTAGAAAAGTAGAAGTAGTGGGTGGCGGGAAGTCAAAGAAGTGCCGCCGCCGTCAGCCACAATGAAATCAAACAAATCACGTATAACTGGTACGTCACCAGCGCGTCGCAAAAATTGATGTTATAACAAAAATTGATATTACAAAAATTGATATTATTATATTAACTTTAAAAAGTGCACTAGTGAATTATAATTTGAATAAATAATAAAACATTTACAATATGTCAATAACTACCAAAAAAAGTACATAAATCTAAATCTATATATATATAATTACTGGCTGATGCATTAAATAAAATATTTAATAAAACCTATTTTCATTTCCCTCCAAAATGAGTTACATTTTTTTTTAATTAATTACTCATTAATCTACTAAAACCGTTACACCTTAATATACATTTTTATTATTTATATTTTAGATAAGTTAATTTTAAATTTGGTAGCAAAATATTCAAGTGTGTAACGGCTAATGTTGGAACTTAAAGTTGATTGGCACATTCAAAGCTGTAACCGCTATATTTGGTTGCATTGTTGGAAGAAAAATATGATTGGTGCATATTTTTTTTCTAAAAATTAAAAACACTAATAATTTTTTTATTTATGTTAATTTTCTTAATATATGTCACAAATATATAAATTATTTTATTCATGTTACTAATGTAAACGTTGCATGATTAAAATAAAATTTAAATCTCAATTAATTTTGAATAATAAAAATAACTTAAGAAAAAGTAATAAATTTTATATAATAGAAGTACATGTCTAATTAATAAATACAAATAAAAATGTATTTTATATCTGTGCAAATGCACAAGATCGAATACTAGTAATGATATAAGGAAAGAAAATATAAATAAAAAATAATTATAAGGATAGAAAAAAAAAAAAGTATCATTTATTAGACGAAACAACAATGTATATGTAAGATTAGTTGCAGGCTTTTGAGTATATTGTCACTATTAGAGCATCTCCAATGCTATGAGTTTGAAAGACCATTATTTTTAACACATGTCAATTAGTGATTGTAATGTTAATCCACATTGGAATAATGTTAAAAGACTAGAAATTTGAATAAAACTAGTATCTTCAATGCATCAATTTGATAATAAGTCATTTGTATAGGTGGACCAATTAAATAATTCATTGATACAAGAAAAATAAAAAATTAAAACAAATATAAAGTAAATTGATGAGTCACCATGTTTAACATAGTGTTAGATATTACAAAGTGTGTTCAACATTGTCAACATTAAATGACATCCACCTCATCATGAAAGAGTTCATGACAAGATGCATTGGAGAAAAAAATAGTAATACACTTTCAAAAGTTGATGATATGGATGAATTTTTATAATGTCAAAAGTCACATTGGAGATGTTCTTAGTAGATCACCCGTAGGTTGCGCAACCTAATGTAAAAAGGTGCAATGATAAATAATAATTTGAATAAAAAATAAATATTTAGAATATGAATAGTTATATAAAATATAAAAGTAAACTACAAATATTATTTAATTCATATTTTGAATATTTTTAAAATAAATTGTAAATGGAAATATATTAACTTATTATTCCTATCGCAATCCAATAATATTATTTAGATTGTAACTTTCGAAACATACCACAGATATGACTAAATACATATTTATTAAACAACAATCTCACATTTGACAATAATTTTCGTCAACTCAGTATTAATATATTACTATAAAATACAGAGAATAAAAAATGTTTGAAAAAATATTTCAATTTCCCGCTTAAAAGCTGTTTTCCCCCTACAATTTAATTTGAAATTTTTCATGCAGGTATTTGAATTGTTTTTATTCCATGCATGCACGTTTTCAGTTTTTTTGGGATTTGGATTTCATTTGTATATATATATATATATATATATATAAGATTTTGTTTGACTAAACTCACCTATCTACAAATCACATTTCATATGTCTACCGATCTGTTTTTTATTTCCTGTTTTTTAGGTAATCAAGCCGAGTTTAAATTATGGTATCATCCATCAAATGAGTAATTGTTTAAGATAATTAGTGTTAGGGAAAATTACACTTTGCCTACCGAACTATCCGCGTTTTTACACTTTGCCTACTCAACTTTTTCCAGTGACACTTTACCCCTTGAACTTCAAATATTCTTGCACTTAACGACTTCCGGCACCGGAGATGCAAAATCAAGGGCAAAATCGTCATTTACACTTAGGAGACACCTCAAATTAGTCTTCACGAGTACACTTTGCCTACCGAACTATTCGTGTTTTTACACTTTGCCCTTGATTTTACATCTCCGGTGGTCGGAAGTCGTTAAGTGCAAGAATATTTGAAGTTCAAGGGGTAAAGTGTAACCGGAAAAAGTTGAGTGGACACAGTGTAAAAACGCGGATAGTTCGGTAGGCAAAGTGTAGTTTTCCCTTAGTGTTAAATATGTAAATATTGATATTGTACTATAAGTTAGGTTTAGGCTAAGGCTCATATGTGTATCTATATATATATGTACTCCTCTTTGTGAATAATAGAATATATATTTTTCCCACATTCTCACAATTAGCCGTGAAAAAAAGAAATGAGTTTGTAATTTATTTGGTTAAATTCAGTTTTTGAGTTAATTCTTCTCTTATGAACACGTTTCTGCGGACGGATGTTGTGGTATTGCAGGAAAAGATGATTTAGATATATACAAATCCATTATCATGAAAACCTTATTTTTTTATTAAAAAGAGGTAAAATAACATTTGGTTTCCCGCCTAAACTATTTGAGTAATATTTTTTGTCAAAATTTGAAACAATCCCGCCTAAATTAATGTACAGAATCATTTTGGTCAGATATTGCGGCTATTGCCTTTATTAGTTGCATGATTTAAATTTGAAATATAATATATTGACAAAACCTGCAGCTATTACCTTTATTAGTTACATGGTTTAAATTTAGTATATAATATATTACAAAAAAATAAAAAGATTTATATTTAAATTTAAAAATAAAAAATAATTATTCATAACTTACGGGTCAATATTTACTTGGACGTAAACGAAATAGTCAATTATATAACTTACGGGTCAATATTAACTTGGATGTAAATGAAATAGTCAATTATTTATAATTTAATAAATTACTCAGCTACTTATTTTTTTTTTTTTAATAGTTTATACAATAATAAATTATTTGAAGTAATGAAACAATATAAATTTTATATTTATACTTATTATTCACATAGACTGTTAAATATATGATAACATTTTACCAAAATAACTATTTTATGGAATCACATATAGTCAAATCGATTTTCTGAATCAAAATTTTGGAATGGTACTTATTTTGAAACGAATATAATGTAATTTATTATCAGTTATGTGCACCACACGGGTTGTATACTAATTTTAAATAGACATTTTTATGTAATTTTGCACAATTTAGACTTTATATAACACTTTCAATAAATTAATATAAGTAAATTGTATTACATATTGATTCCATATTTTAAATTTATAAATATTATTTAATACAAATTTTTTTTTTTGGTAAAAATTTAATAATAATTTTTAACTATAAATATGAATAAATATCTTTTACCCGTGCATTGCACGGGACTTATACTAGTAGATTTTGAATAAGACAACATATTAAAAATTATCGTGGCTGAAATTCAAATAGTAACCTCGATCGGAAGCCATCGAGGATAATTTTGAAATATGAACATCTTTCTGGTGCAATCTAGTCGAAGCCTGACAGTTTGTCTTTCAGGCCATCACAATTTATAGGAGCAAGTTTCCATACAGTTTGAGCCTGGTACAATTTGTAATAATTGAGTGTATTAAATATATAAGTCCCATTCATTTATAATGGTGTGCAGGGGATATGTTATTTATATATATATAATTGCTAGTTAAGTAGTAAATTTTACCTAATAAATAAAACTTAATTAATTTTACCTATGTGACAAATCATTAATAAAACCTAATAAATAGAACCTAATAAATTTTATTTATGTGGCATTAATACACCCAATCTCATTAATAAGAAAATATTTCATTACATTTTTTGGGTTAATTAAGACAAAAATTATTATATTTTAAGTTAATTGATTAATAATTATATTTTTTATTGAATAATATGATAGTTAATATTAAAATTAGTAATTATATTTTATACTAAATAATATATGAAAGTTACATAAAATTATATTTTACACTAAAATCAATATTTTTTTATATGATGAAGATGTTGTTTATTAATAAATTAATTTTTTTTTTTTATGTCATAGTAAAATTTCTTAAAATCACATAAGCAATTGTTATAATAAATGTAATATTTTTCAGCTAATTAATTGGTCATGATTACTCAAAATTATAAAAAGTATATATTTATTGCATTTTATGCAATCAATATAGTGATTCGTATACAATCAAATCGTGTGTAATATTTATTTTAACCAATGATTAAATTTTAAAATATAATACTATTATATAATTTATAATTTTATTATTATATACATAAATATAACTTATAATACTATATGTTTGAAATATAATACAATTATATGACTTATAATTTTTATATTATATACATAAATATAACTTATAATATTTAATTTTAATTACATCTGTGCAAATGCACAAAGTCGAATACTAGTTTATGTTTAACCTGCAATTTTGTCAGAAAAGTGCGAGAGATAAAGAAAGGGAAAGAAAAATAGAGAAAATAAAAATAATATTTATATTTTTATTCCTATTTTTTAGTGCTCAATTCTCGACTCCGTTCTAGTTCGCCGGAGCTCGTAAATCTGGTGTGCTACAGATTTAGAGACGTTTGCCGTTGTATCTTTGGCGAAGTTACGCCTGAACCGTTAGCTGCCACACGGGGCGTATTCTTCTTGCGGAAAGAGTTTTACTCGCCTCGGCTAAAATCTTTCTGTATTTTTTTTTTTTTTTATTTTCAGTTGTAATTTATTTTCGATTGTAATTTATTTTTCAGTTCTATTGTAATTTTCTATTTTTAGAATATTCGTAAGAACTGAAAAAATTACATATCAGTTCATAGGATTCCCGTGTAATTTTATATA